ATCAAACTTATAAAACATTTACAGTTTACAGCCACCACATACACTTGCATACCGTATTTAAAACGACCGATATACAAAAGATTGATGACATGGCATTCTGACCTCAAAAATGGTACTCTCCAAAATCTATCATTCTGAACCCCTAATGCTAGCCCCTACGCCCCTTACTCAGCGTCCATTCTGAGTCTGACTCATCCCCATCTGAATCTGAACTTCCCTGATCAGCTTGCTCCTCCGAAGACTCTGTCTCCGCCTCAATCTCAATCGGGTGATTGATGTCGCTCGACTCAGTTGGGACTTCATTCTGATCCTCCTCGGCTAGAAAATCAAAGAAATTATACTCAGGCACGAAATTGGGATCCATGTATTGCTCAAAAGGGAGTATATACTCCGGGTCTCCTACAGGCTCTTCCGACTCCTCAGACTTGTCATCAGGCTCTACTTCGGGCTCCACCTCTTCTGGTTCCTCCTCGGGAATTGGTTCTAAGTCTATGTCCATTGGGTCATCTTTAGCTTGCGATGCTTCGGGTTCGGGTTCATGCTCAGCCTCCGAAGATCCTTGTGCGGCGGGTGCTGGATGCATCCCAGATTGCGCTAAGCTAACCTTTGTACTGGTCAACTCTCCATCTATCGGGGGTATGGCAGACGGGTCCCAATCTCCAACTAAGTCAAATGGAACATCAAAACCCCTAACGGGCCCGAACTCATCTCCATCTACATCCCGGAAGAACCATGCGGTATAAACATGGGTCTTCCATAAAGGTAGTCCTACCTCTACAAAAACGGTCGAAGTATGCTTAATCCAGGTCATGCCATCACCCATGGGAAATTCTGTAACTTCATTCTCAGTGTGCACTGGTACCCCAAAACTCTCTGGTGGCGGTGGCGGAGGATTCATGGCTCAGGTCGGGGTTCTGATAATTATTGGTTAAAATAACCGTGAGACTACATCTCAGTAAGTACACCCCTAAACCCCACCTAGGCTATCACGTACCTCCAGACAATCACACAAACACACAATCACACACATACCATTATCACATAGCAGGCACTTCAGTACAATCACAAGCATGCACAATTCTCATGTCATGCACTCATTCCATTCTCAATATCTCTTTTCCACATTTCTCGCCAGTGACCCGCGTTATAGTACACGCCTCAGATACACTGCGACCTCTTTTCACAACACTTCCGGGCGCGCATAAACGTACACGCCTCAGGACATGTTTCTTGCCCGCGTTGAAGTACACACCTCAGGCTCAACATCTACCACCTACTGTGCAACCCGCGTTGAAGTACACGCCTCAGGCTGGCAATCTACCGGTAATACTGGGCATCGTCCCGTGGAAACGTACACGCCTCAGGACGGCACAAATTCTACGAACTCATGTCATACTACATCCACTTTTTATTTATGCACATGCTTAACAAGCATTTACCACACTCAACTGGCCAATCACACGTGGCCCATGCACGCATCAATTCACACGCAAACATGATCACTAAGCATTTGACATGGCCAACTTTAATAATCAAATCAGTCTGGCCCAAGCGTGCACTCGACAAACATATTTCAATCATTTAATCACGCAACCACGCACTCAATTTTATCATCACAACCCAGTCATAGTTCAAACACGCATTAAACACACAATTTGCCATTTTCCTCTAAACAAATGGCGTCAAATCAATTCCGGCCCTTCACAGCACTTTCTCACAATTAATTGCCGGTTCTAAAAATCCAATTTGCATCCCGATCGGCCCATCACAGCCCATTGAACGATCACTCACAGCGAACTACCAACCTCCAAAAATCCACCGAACTCGTCCGATTTTGATTCTTAGGCCCGCCAATTAGTTCCATTCCTAATCCATACAATTTCGCACCCAAATAAACCCGGTTTCCAACTAAAATCAGTCGTCGATACCCAATATCCTAAGTCGGGTTTAGGCGAGACTTACCCGACTCTAGACTCACGCGGCTAGAGCGAAAGCGGCGGCAAAACCAAGATCTAACGGCGGCTTGCGGCAGCGATGACGATTGGTGGCGATCGGGAGGAACGGAGGGCGATGGCGGTTTGGGCGGCGGCCGGTTGGCTCACGGCCAAGGGAGACCGAGAGGGTGAGACAGAGAGAACGGTGGGATGGGGGTGGCGGATCAGCGGTGGCGACGGCGGTCCGGGCGGTGAGGCGGTCCGGCGAGAGAGAGAGATCGGAGGGGGGCTCACGGTGGAGGGGGAGAACCGAATGGGAGAGAGAGAGAGGAGAGAGAAAGGGTCTTGGACCTTAATAGTGATATTTGGACCAAAAGTGACAAATGACCAAAATACCCCTCTCTCACATTTTTGATCCAACGGTCCAGATTCGATCCTATCTTGAAATCGACGGCCCAGATCGAATCTTACAAAATATATCCAAGGGTAATTTTGTAATTTCTCAAAAAGTCTAAGGGCAAAATTGTCCAATAAAAAAGTTAGGGTAAAATGACCAAAATGCCCTTCTTCCATAAAGCATGCCCTTTGTTAATCCTTAGGGGTAAAATGGTCACTTTCCCCATTTCTCATCGAAAATGAATTTTTCTGAAGAATTCGGGCGCATTCAAAATTGCACGTTACAACCGCAACGTCGTCCTAACGTCCCGTTGTGACTTCCAAATTTTTCCGGTGTCCGATTTGGGCTAAATTAAATAATTAAATTTTATTAAACGCAACTCGATCGTTTCTCATACTAACGGGCAGCTTGTTGGGGAAATTCGCATATCCGACCCGTGACTGACAATAATTCAGGTGACGTGCAAGTTTATTCGGGTCACGACGACTTCGATTGTCATTAAAATCGCGAGGATCAATTACTAGATCCTAGGGGTACGATTGTTCGGTATAGTTTCAGGATAATTCGTCAAGTCATTTCATGGTCCAGCGGAATCACCCGCGATCCATTACTATGACAGTGGCGAACTGATCCCTAGCTATCCTCGGATCGGCCAGCAGTGGCTCAAAATATCACCTCGACGATTTTATGGTCGAAAATCAATTCACGATCAAATTTTCTTTAGTCGTACGAATTTAAATCCCTAATTAGCCTTTCCCTAATGGTTAGTATCCCAGGAATGATCAGTTCCGGGCGAGAACTAACTACGAGTACATTCATAAAACTCAGTATTTTATAAATCCCAAATGAACTAATTTTCAGGATATCACATACGAACATCAAATCCACCCACGAATGGTTAGTATCCCAGGAATGATTAGTTCCGGGCGAGAACTAACTGCGAGTACATTCATAAAACTCAGTATTTTATAAATCCCAAATGGACTAATTTTCAGGATGTCACATACGAACATCAAATCCACCCACGAATGCCACAACAAGCCAATCATTGACCCACCAACATTAGCCACTAATATGCACCCAAAACCATCCCAATTCCAAACCACGAGCTCACCAATCTGACATCCAAGTCGGCCACAATCAAACGTCAATTTCCCCCACACACGCCACGACAATACGGTCATTTAGCCCACCATAATTAGCCGCTAATTAAGCCCCACAATCATCACAATTTAATCTAACAATTACGCACATACAAATATTGACCCTAATCCACGTTTAGCCCCTAAATCGATACTAATTAACCCATAGACAAGTCTAATAATACCCAATGTACTAGGTAGGGTTTAGGAAGTCATTTACTAGGTTTTGGCCCGGGAAAAATCCACTCGGGCTCAAAATGGCCCGGGTGAACAGTGTTGGGATTGGTACGGGCGAGGGCGCGACGGGCGCGGGGCTCGTCCACGGCTCGGAACACGGGCAAAATTCTCGGCGCGGCCCACGGCCACGGGCTCGGCCATGGGCAAAATGCTCGGCCGCGGTAGGGCACGGCGACGGGCACGACGCAACGGGCCACGGCTGGGGTAGTGGCCTGGGCTGTCCGACCACGGCCCGAGGCGAGTTTGGCACGGGTAGGGGCAGTCCGGCCACGGCGGGGCACGCTCAGCCGGCAAGCTCGGGCATGGCTGGGCACGCTCGGCCGGCGAGCTGGCTGGACGGCTGGGCTAAGGACTGGTCGAGCAGGAGCAGAACCAGTCGGGCGGAGGAAGAAGAAAGGAAGAAGAAGAAGAAGTAGAGAAGGAAGAAAATAAAAAGAAAGGAAAGAGAAGAGCGAGTCTGACAGAAGGCACGTGCATGAGGGGACGTGCATGGGGGGAAGGGGAATGTGCGCGCGCGCGGGAGAGAGAGAGAGAGAGAGAGAGAGAGAGAGAGAGAGAGAGAGAGAGAGGATAGACGGGACGGGGAAACGTGAGCGGGAAAAGAGGAGGAGAGAGAGAGAGAAAAAAAAGTCAAATAAAATACTCAAATGCAAATCCAACGGCCCACAAATGATCTAGAAATCGATCCAACGGTCACGAAAAAGATCCTAATTAATTATTAGGAAAAAGGGCCAGAAGATATTAATTAAAACACACTATGAGGGAGGTCTACTAATCTAAATCCGCACCCGGTCAAAATTTCACTTTCCACATATCCTAGGCAATATCGAGGCTGGCCACAATAATATCGACACCGTCCAATTAAATTCGTTCCGAAACTCCGAGAAATTCGACACCAAAGTTTAGGCTCTAAATAACGGCCAAATTCGATCAAGTGCGATTCTAGCGAAATCTCAATTTTAAAAATAATAACCGAGAGTGATCAGTTCCCGGGCGAGATTTTACTATAAGCACACTGACGAATTACACGTTTTATAAATCCCAAAAATGGGCCGAAATTCGGAATGTCACACCCATCCTGGTAAATTTCGGGGTGTGACAAGGGCCCTCTTGAAAATGTTAACATCATATTCTAGAGGCCATCGCTTGATCAGGTTCTCCACCAATTGATCTTGTGCGGCCATCAGTGCAACATCAAGCACATTAAAGTAATGTGTCCTATGGCCATAACTGTGGCCTTAATTGCTTCGTCATCTTCATTGAGGATTTTCTCAGCAGCTTTCCAATTACCTTTCGTCGCGGCTTCAAACAAAGATCGATATTTTTCAATGACAATTGTTGTTGGCATGACTGCAAAAGTCGCCCATTAAAAGTCATCAGGCTTAGCAGTTCCGATTTTTTAAGTCAAGTGTAACCATTGCACCTGCTCAATTTTCTTTTGAAACTCGAATGCAAGTGAAGGGGAGGTGTTTACTAAACCTACCTATTTCTATGAGGACATTTGTTTACTCTTTGGAAGTAAATTATTTTTTTTTGGGCTTCCTCAATGTTCAAGATATTTTTCAGAATTTAAAAATTATGAAAATATTATATTTAAACTTATATGTCAGCATTTATATGCTGTCAAATTTAAAATGTTTCGGAGGAAAAAAAGTCAAAATGCATGAAATACAAGATTGATGAAAAATGAAAATTAAAAATTCGAAGTGACAAACCTCTTTTTGTTTTTCGATCTATCAACCTCTGGTGATCTTTCCAAAAACTTAGTTCGGAACTGGCTTCGGAAGGTTCATCCATTGCTGCACCTTCTGAAATTAGGTCTTCGCGAATCTCTGTCACCAAAAAGAGAAATGAACATGATTAACCTTTGGAATTCGTATGCCTTAGAACATCTAAACATGACTAGTATTAGGCTCATTCATTGCATGGAATTTTCTATATTAAAATTGTATGGTAAACTTTTTAATCAAAAATGATTTTTAACTTTAAACTTGGCGAAAATCATGAGTTTTTCCTATAATAGGCATTGTGTCATGAATTAGTTTTGTGGGACCTTCGAACTTTCATTGGTTTGACATTGTATTTTCTAGTGAGTTTTTGTTTCTCATTGCCATTATTCTTATCCAAGATTTCATTCATAAAATTTTACGCAAAATCTTATCTATCTCTACAATTATACATAATTTCTATGAAAAGTTTGTACTTGAATTTATATGTCAGGATTTGTATGTTGTGGAATTTAAAATGTTTCGAATTAAAATTAAAATCAAAATGCATGAAACACAAGTTTCTTGAAAAACGAAAAATAAAAGTTCAAAGTGACTAACCTTCAATTGATTTGCAACTATCTTGGGAAGCTGTATCAGTTGTGAACTTCTTTGTAACCAACAAAAGAAATGAACATAAATAACCTTTTCAAAATGTTTCAGATTGAAAAAGTCGAAATGCATTGACCATACTGATTCATGTGAAAATTAAAAGTTCAAAATGACAAACCTTTAGTTTTTGATTGATTCATAATCCTCAGGTACTCTTCAAACAAAGTTGGTTTCTTACCGTCTTGGAAAGCTTTATCAGTTGCCATGCCTTCTAAACTCACAACTATGTGAACCTCTTTGTTACAAAAAAGAGAAAAGAACATAAGTGACCTTTTAAAAATGTTTCAGATTGAAAAAAGTCAAAATGCATGAAACAAAATGATTTATGAAAAATGAGAATTAAAAGTTCAAAATGACAAATCTTTATGTTTTGATTGATTTGTGATCGTCGGGCAGTCTTCAAACAAAGTTGGTCTGCGACCATCTTGGGAAGCTTCATCAGTTGCTATGCCTTCACTAACGTCTATGTGAACATCTTTGTTACCAAAAAGAGAAATCAACATAAATAGCCTTAGAAATATCAATTGCACTTTATACGCTTTAGATCATCTATATGCGACTAGTATCAGGCTCATTCACTGCATGGAATTTCTATATTAAATTTAGATGGTAAATGTTTTTAATATTATAACATTAATGAGTTAGTCTCAAGATAGGCATTGTATCATGAATTAGTTTTGTGGGACCTTGTAACTTTCATATCTGGGACAATGCGTTTTTTAGTGAGTTTTTATTTCTCGTTGCACTTGATCTTATTCATAATATCATCCGCAAATTAAAGCTCCATTTATTTCCTGGAAAATTAACGGTTTGAAAAATATTTTCCTAAAAATGATTGTTTGTATTGCTTGAAATAATTAGTCAATGAAAAATATTTTTATTATCGATAACAATTTATGTCTAAATATTTTCATGGACGATGAAAATATTTTTCATTCAATCATTTTTGTAAGCGATACAAATGATCATTTTAGGAAAATGGTTTCCAAATCGTTCATTTTTCATGAAACAAACAGAGCCTAAGTCTATAAAATTTTTTATCTTTACATAGTTTCATGTAATAATTATAAAAGAATGATACATAAATAAAATAAATGAATTAACTTGATCATATTAAATTTATCAATTAAAATAATTAATTTATAAGTTACAGTTGATACGGGGCACCAGTTTTCAACTTTATTACTACTATCATACCAATGCATTGCATGGATTGCTTTCCTAGATTAGTCTATTGGGAAAAAGAATTGGTCTAATTTTTCTTACAAAATCCATATTACTTTGTTTTTGTGGCAAGAACATTCCACCATCTATGTACCTTCGATAATGTGTTTGTTAGTGACTTTTCTTCTTTACTATCACCTTTAGACTTTGCCAAATAGTGACAGACATTTCTATTGACAAGTTACTTTTGGCTCTGAACAACATTACATGATTACATTTTGGGAATGACTATAGTGAATTGACTAGTTGGAGGATCATGTCTTCAAAGATAGTCTCATGTAGTCTCTTGATGTTAAGTAATTATCTAATTAGAACCCATTTGGTTTTCCCTCTGCTCTTGATGAAATGCTTTGTAAGACAATCAGCTTCAAATTCAATCTGAATATTAAGTAAACATAGAAAATTATTAGTCCTCACTAGGTGATTGTTTGAACAAAACTCTCTGGTCGGAGGAATTTTCTGGTAATTAATTTTAATGATCTAGTCATTGAGCGCTTGTAAGTAATGAAACTAAGATTGACAAAAAGCGGTAGTATCATCATCAACAACTATAAGGGAAGTTGGAGCCAAGTCACACCAAATTAGGAGACTTGACTTTTGAGTAATCTATTTTGCGTGTTTACTGTTGACTTGGAAGAATTAGGCATGCCCGTAGGTCCAAGAAAATGAATCAATTAGATGTTGGTGGCCACACATCGCTTTTTCATTTTCAGTCCCTGTAGTTTGGGAAATTTTCAGTTTTAGCGCCTACACTTTGGTTATAATCTCAGTCCTTACACTACTCCGTGGTGACAATCTAAGTCACTTTGTCTAAATTACAGGGGCAAAAAGTGTTATTTCCCCAAATAATTTTAAAGTTAAGCTTTTTTTCAAAAAAAGAATATTCTTTTTAGGAAACATACTTGATTCTTACGCATGGTATCAGTACCCTGGACTCAGGATAAGAGCAAAACTATAAATGCATGAGTGCCATTTTTGCCGAGTCAACATTTTAATACATTAACTGCCTATATAATATTGCTTATTTACTTCAAAATTAACGCACAAAAAGTGAAACTTTCCAATTTTTCCATCACCTAATGGAATCAAATCATAACAACAAAGGAAAGAACGGAAAATACCTGCCAATGGTTCCGAAAACGAACTGCCTTGAGTATCCATGGAGGATTCTTTGCCGTTCCGTCTCGCGAGAATGCAAAAATCTGAAGCAGAGAAGTATCTTTGGATGGTCGCAGTCGAAGTAATTTGTTCTGATGGATTCTCTCTATTTATACAACGACTTGTGGATGGAGCCAAACTTCCTGCTGTGGATTTCATGTTTTAAAAAATAAAGTTGCATCATTTTTAATCGGCAAAAGGACATTATAAGTGTCATAAGTTATGTACGGAGATCACTTTGGTGCCATAACTTTTTTTTGGATCACTTTGGTGCCAACTTTTTTGAAAAACGATCACTTTAGTGCCAATGCTGATATGGCCGCCGGAAATCTGACGTGGCTTTTTTTTATTAATTTCCGATGCTGACATGGCTTGCCAGAAATCTGACGTGGCTCGCCGGAAATCCGACGTGGCTCTTTTTTTTGTCGGAATTTTAGCCGGAATCACTAAAGTGATATCTTGTCCTCCGACTTGGCACCAAAGTAATCCGAAAAAAAAGTTATGGCACCAAAGTGATCTTCGTACACAACTTATGGTACTTATAGTGTCCTTTTGCCATTTTTAATCTGCACCAGGGGACGCGCACATGTCTGAAAATGTGGAATTAAGTATGAAATTATTGAGGACTTTCTCTTCCACAAGAAGAAAGTTACGTCACGTCCCATCAAGGTATATGAAACTAACTAAGGGTTCGAGGGTTTTGGATTTTTGATTTAGGGTTTCAAAATTTCGAATTTTAGGATTGGGGTTTAGAATTTTAGGATTTAAGGTTTCGGTTTTTAGTTTTGGGCTAGGGTTTTGGGGATTGGGTTTAGGATTTAGGGTTTTGAGGTTTTGGGTTTGGCTTTTGGGGTTCGAGGTTTGGGGTTTGAGGTTTTAGGGTTTGGATTTTGGGGTTTCAGGTATTAGGTTTTAGAGTTTACGATTTTAGGGGTTTAGGGTTTGGGGTTTAGAGTTTTATGATTAAAGGTTTCGATTTTTGGGTTGGGGTTTAGGGTTTCGAGTTTTAGGGTTTGGGGTTTTGGGATTTAATGGTTTATAAAATTGTTTCTCTAAAATGACATTTTTTTTGCTCCTAGGAACAGAAAGGTAGATTTTTTTTATTTCTTGTTTTTGTTCCAAATCTATTCCCCGGCCACTTCTCTATTTCGGGGAATAGAAAAATTAACTAACATACACAAATGGATTTCTGTTTTTTTTTCTATTCCAGAGAATTAAAGAATAGAAAAACATCACTTTTCTATTCCGAGGAATAGAAAAATTAACTGACATACTGTCACGCCTCATACCCTACGAACACGTAACATCCCGTCGCGGTCGTTGAGAATGCGACTCCCAGGATTCATTGCCGACCAGTTACCATTGAATAAGAGAATATACGCGGAAGCCAAATGAACACTCCATTCAACAAACATTCAAACGGGATAATAGAGGGAGACAATTTAAACAAACCAACAAACCATTTCATAAACTTAATGTCATATACAACGATAACATATACAAGCCTTCCTAAAGGCCACAAACTCAGACCACGCATACTCAAAAAGGGATAAGGTGGTCGATCTGCTCCACTACTCTATTCAAAAGAGGAGCTCCAAAAAGATAGGGATTTCTAACCCTATCAAAAAACTCCACAGCATCCTGGCGGTGCTCCTGGAGAAGTCGGGTCAGATGCCTCGCTATAAGAACCAGGCGGCAAAGGCTCCAGTTCAGGGTCTGACTCCTCGAACCACGCCTGGGGTTCCGTAACCATCGGTTCGGACTCAGGATTAACAACAGCTCCATCAGGGGGATCAATCTACGTAAGATCCCACTCTCCTAAACCATCGTCAGAGGGAATATCAAATCCCTGAAGAGGACCAAAAGTCTGAGCTCCATTCCTCAGAAATCATGCCATATACTTGTGAGCTGTCAAGTACTGCTCACCATCATCGACCCAAACTGTACTCTCATGCTTCTGATACTCCCTATCCTCACCAGCTGGGTACTCAGTCACCCAATGCTCCGTTTCCGTTAGTACCCCGAAACGTAGCGGAGGCTCAGTCATAATCAAGGTCGAGGGACTGAAATATTTAACAACGTGGAATGAGATAAAATCTCAATAAGTAAACTGCCTAAGCCTCGACTAGGGCAATACGTACCTCCGGCACCCTAATCATGCAATTCTAACCAATAGGGTAAGTTCCTATTAAACGAACAATGGTACTACATACTATGCAAAGTCTCGAATTGCATCACAACCATGGCATACTATTAATATGCATAACAGCAATAATAATAATCCAGACATACTCAATCATTCATACGAGTCTCGATTATAAGATGAAATCACTTCGGCCTGTCCCATACAGTGCCTCACGATTTTATCCCATAATCAAGCGCAAAGCATGCCATATGCACGTAACACTCGAAGTTGTCCAGATTATTAACGACCCACCATAGGTCACACCGAACTCCCGCCGGTCTTCCAGCATAGCCAGGCATCACCCTACTATTTTGGGCGTGGCAGCGTCTAGCATCGAACCCCCCCCCCCACCTCGACAAGTCGAGTATCGGACGTAATTCCATTTAGGAGCATCGATCCGGCCTCCATCGCGATCGGCAATGTTTGGGATCGAACCCCTCCGACAAGTCGGGTACCAGACAGCATCCGAACTTCCGCCGGGCATCGTTTAGAACTCGTCTTAGACGGAACTCATCATGGCCATACACGTAAACAACCACACATTACCAATTTTAATCTTCCTTACTTAGCCAATGCAAGTGTTTATGACGTGCAATTTACTACGAATAAATATGCCATAAATCGCACTCGTTTTCGTAT